CGTTGATTCGTCCTGGGTCTATAACATTCTACACGGATGGCTCAAAACAGGATAACAGGGTAGGGGCAGGAATAACAGGTCCCGGAATTAACTGTTCTGTAGCAATGGGTAAATGGCCAACAGTATTCCAAGCAGAAATATTTGCGATTCTAGAATGTGTAGAAATATGTTTAAAACAGAAATTATAGGAATGCAAACATATGCATTTTTTCGGACAGTCAAGCAGCATTGAATGCCCTTAAATCAATGATCTACACTTCAAAGTTAGTGTGGGAATGCTATAATCAACTTCAGAAATTGTCCTGTCGTAACAAGGTAAATCTATATTGGGTTCCTGGTCATTGCGGCATTGAAGGAAATGAAAAAGCTGATCAATTAGCAAAGCTTGGCTCATCCCAGAAATTTATTGGTCCCGAACCATTTATTGGTCTATCGCCTTCTAATCTGAAAATGGAATTAAAGAACTGGGAAAAAAGCAAGGTACAATCCAATTGGAATAATACCTCAACAGCCCGGCAATCTAAACAATTCATTAAGCCCAACGTTTTGAGTACGCAAAGGTTACTCAATCTTTCCAAAAAAGATTTAAGCACCTACACTGGATTAATAACAGGACATTGTCCTAGTAAATATCATTTTAAAAAAATCGGAAAGCTTAGCGACGATAGATGTCGCTTTTGTTATTTGGAGAGCGAAAGCTCTGAACATTTATTGTGTGATTGCACTGCTTTATTTAATAAACGATGCAGATTTCTTGATAAAGGACTCACCGTACCTGAAGAAATTTGGACCAGTATACCCAATAAAGTTGTAGACTTCATTCGAAGTGCAATTCCATATTAGGATAATGCCGATGATCAATGATGAAGATCACTCTACATAGTGGTTGATCATCAAAACACACGGCAAATAGTAAAAAGAGGATACACCACAATAGATCAAAACACTGGTCGCAGTGGTAAATGTCCACGACACGGAAAAAAGGTAATTACTTTGGTGAATTCAAAAGATTCTTGCACTAATACTCATAATTTACCCCAAATTCTGCACCTTGTGCATTTCACATATGTCAGAGAAGTCTATTAGATATTAAATAGTGACAGATAGCAGACATGAAACTCAAGTGGAGATGCTGGGCAAAGGTGTTATATCCTAGACAAATGGTAAGTTACAAATTCGCTGTTGTCCTTGTCGTAGTCGCCGTCGTAGGCAGTACCGTTAGTATATTTAAAATTAACCATCAACCGCTGAAACTATATGAATTCGCGTATTTTTTTTTGCTCATTACATGCCAAGTGAAATTCGAGAACGTAATTTCATTTGAATAGCTTGTTTAACCAGGGCTCAAACAATCGTCACGTCGGTCATAGCTTGTTATGATTGCCTGAACAATGCGTAAAGAGCAAATCGAAACATTGAACGTCGCGTGAAAGTGGAACTTAATTAAGGCCTAAGTACTCTTTCATAGCTTTTAGTTTTCGGATTGAAAGATCGTCGGTTGCAGTGGCTTGCCCATTGAGCAGAAAAACGCGATCCCAGGTCCTTTTATATCAAAAATGTATGGTAAGATCGCTTGTTTATCGTGTATTTTGTAAAACTTTTCGTTGTCGTCGGTGCCGGGTTTGAATAGTTATAACAATGAGTAACGGTTTAATGTGATATGACGGGCTCGGTGGCCTTAGAGCAGCCGTTTTTGCTAACTGAGCAGAACATCAAGCCCATCCACATTCAAGATTCGTCAATCATTTTATTTGTTAACATGACTACATGGTAATAACAGTAACTCGATGATTAAAAAGGAATTCGTCTGCCTAGTGGCAAACGTTTTTGCTTACTGAGCAGAAGACCATGGGTTCAATCCCAAGCTCCTTCGCGTTATACGATTGTTAGGACATCTATTCAGCTTATCGTTTACCAAAACGAACCCTGCTGCAAGCCCAACCCTATTACCAACAATCAATACGAAACGATTTTAAATTGGATCACTACTTGACTAGCCTATTGGTCCCAAGCAAACGATACGTACCCCGTTCTAGTCGAAATTCTAGTACTACACAATGTTTGTTTTGATTTGCCATGAAAGTTTGACAGATAAAATGAGGGGTTCGTGGATTTTCCTATGTTTCGAGGGGTGCATCGATTAGCTTGGGACCAAAGAGAGTACCAGAGCTGGGCCAAAACTTGAGCACTTTTCTTCGGGACATGCTAGCATAGAGGTAACTCTAAGACCAGAAGGTCCCGAAGAAACGAGCTCAACTTTTGGCTCAGCTCTGGTACTATCTTCGGTCCCAAGCTAATCGATTCACCCCTCGAAACATAGGAAAATCCACGAACTCCTCATTTTATCTGTCAAACTTTCATGGCAAATCAAAACAAACATTGTGTAGTACTAGAATTTCGACTAGAATGGGGTACGTTAATCGATTTGCTTGGAACCAATATCGACCAAAATCGTTAGTTTCGTATTGATTGTTGGTAAAACCCCATAAGGAACTGTCAAAATGTGTGTGAAGAAACTCACTCACGTCACTTCGGGACTGGTGTCAAGACGAATTTAAAATCGATAGTTTTGTATTGATTGTTGGTTGCACATCGTTCTACTTGCTGAAAAGTTATAAAAGAGCGCTGCTGTCGTGCCTCCACTCATTTTCGCTTCGGACGGCGTGGTGAGTGTTACCAGCAGCAAGTCAGCGGTAAAAAGTGGAATTTTCCCTCTGCTTGTGCCGAGGACGACGTGATGAGTGGATCATCTTGACGACCAGCGATGGGGTGGAAGGAGACCGACTGGCGATCCGAGCTCATTTTCGCATCGTACAACGTAGTGGACCGATCTCCTGACCAACTAGCAGTAGTAGCAACTCCAACGGTAAGAGCTGGAGCCTTCTGATTTAGATCGAGCAATCGGTTCTTCTTAGGACCACCAATTTTTACAGGAAGAGTTACATTCCTGGGATAAATTGGCGGTATTGACCGATTTTCAGTGAGACCACAATATCTCTAAAAATCTCTTAAATCTCTAGTGAGAGGCATGGATGCCAGACCAGTTCCCAAGAAACATGATTCCTTTGCACATCATGAGACTGACCTACGTCACTCAGTCTATCTACACACTAACTTTAGATTACTGGAGTCAGTAAAATTTTACTGGGTTTTTGAATTGCGGATCGCCCAGTAATCATCACAGACATAATTTGCATTACCGAACTGTCCGTAAAGTCAATCTGTCAAAAATAACTGTTCATTCAGTAATTGGTTCGAGTTGCGTATACTGGAAAACCCAGTATTTTCTTTATGTTAATTTTGCTGCAATTTAACTGAGAAGACAGTTATTTGGTTCATTATTATACCATGCTACCCAGTTATATTAAAAATAGTGAATGTGCAGTAATCAAAGCATGAATCCTGGTGCAATTCACCGCTTGTAATATGCCAATTAATATGACGACTTAATCCCTTGACGTACCCCGGAATAGCCCGTCGACAGTGAAAGCAAACAATGCAAACATCCATTTTGTTGATCAAAATTTGTTGGAGACCAAGGAACTGCAAAAAGAGTAAATAATAAGTGTTGGTACCAACTCAGTTCCGTCATGATATAATTCAAATTTTAACAAAACTGCGCGATTAAACACTTGCTCCCGGATTTTACTGAGCTAAAATGGCGGCGGGAATAAAATTGACAGGTTAGAGTTTTACAATTCGTGGTCGGTAAAACAAGGTGGCTATGTTGCTGACCAGTCGGTAAAAAAATAAAGACTACTTTGTGCACAGTAATTATTTTTACTGACTTTTCGTGAAATCACGAAAATTTGGAAATTAACGACTTTCTCAGTAAATAAATATTCTGTGTACAGTATTTTGCATCAAACGATACCGAAGTTCAGTTTGTGTTTTACAGAACGTCGGTTATTCGCCTGATTTAAACTGAATTTTCAGTAAATCTTTCGTTTTACCGTGTAAGCCCAGTACAAAAAAATACCGAACAACTAAATGCTGGATTAGTGTGTACATTTCATACGTTGACGATTTTTTTTTTTTGCGATTTAAATTAACTAGTAACCTTGTTTTCAAGATTATTGCAATTTATTACACTGTTTGTTTAATTTACAAACACCTATCATTGCAGTGCTTTTCCGATTTCGTTCCGAATCAGGCGTTTCTTTTCTAATTATTTGACATCTAGGAAAAATAAGCGAATGCAACACGAATTATTATTAAATAAAAGAGTTTACTTTACTCTAATATAGGTACCGGAAAGGAAAGTAAACTCTTTTTATTCATATTCAAGAGCCACATGTGAAAAGGGCATACAAGCTTTTTGTAAACAAACCTTTGTAGGCCCTCTTCTTGCCAACCGAGGGTCGCCCACGCAAACTAACAACATCATCGGGAAGGGGAAACCTTCCCCTATCCGGAGATGTTGATGGTTTGCGTTGGTGTCATATGGGTGGCGAGAAAAAGGCATAATAATGTTTGTTTACAAAAAGCTTGTATGCCCTTTTCACATGTTGTGCTTGATATGGCATATTGTCACTATTCCTGTAATAAGCATCCATTTGAAAGTTTATAACTTTTGAGGCGTTCCAAATTGGTATGTTTAAGCGAAAAATTGCAAAAAAGCGAAAGTATTTCACTTATCAATATCCGATAAACGTCATTCAGCGATATGTTTTTACTTTTACACGAAAAAATGCCCTTTAATTTGCCTGTCATCATGAAACCATGAAATACTCCAAAGATAACCGACGTCTATTATCAGTGAAAGAAAACGGGCCTTGCCAGTAGCTTAGCCTTCTTCAACTCGTTGTATAGAAATTTAAAATGGTCATCATTTATGTTATGTATATTCTTGCAAAACCTGCCCACACTTCATTGGATATCGTTTCATCCGTCCAATTCGCATTATCAGTGTAATACATAGACTTTCGTTGCTCTCATCGCGTCACACCCACTCGTAGACTTAAGAAAAATAGAAAACAAACCCATTGATCGACACTCACCTGCAACGGCCAGGGCAACGCCATTCTCATGTTGAGGTAGGTTCTGGTAGATCGTTCCAGCTTTCGCATTGCGCTTGTCCATTTGTTCGCGATTATTCGATTGTCCGAAACGAGAAAATCTGTAATCTGTGTATTTATGCGTGACGATCAGTTGACAAACTTTTCTTAGGGTCGACAAAAAAAAATTGGTACAGAATTCTCAATCGCTTTTTCCGAGCAACACCTGCAACCGGGACCGGGATGGATCTTTTTCGGGCTCTAATCAGCGACTTACTGAGTTCAAACTCTGCCCGAAAGGCTCCTTTCAGGCGTCCAACGTGCCCTATGCTTATCAGTCGTCGCTATTGCTGCTTCACGCTGTCGGAAATTATTATCTTAATACCTCACCGCCACCTGCCAACCGACCGACTGCCTCGTGCCACCTCGATTCATAGCAGCTCCAAACGAACCGTGGACAGCGGAATGTATCCCTTTTCAAGCATCGTTGAAATTCGCGCTAACTGCCCTATCTTCCACTATCTTCCACTACTAGGTGTAACTATGTCCACGTCGTCTGCTGACGGATGGTGATGAACCTCCATTTTCTCATCTCAATGGCAACGATGAAGATAACCGAAGCAGTAAAAGATTTATTTTTGCTTGTTTTACCGCCTCTAAAAAAGACCGTCGGATTCCGTGTTTACATCTAATTGCACTGTGTACCAACTTATAATTGCTCATCGTATTGTCACGACCGTCACCAGGGACGCCTACGAAAATAGACACTGGATAATTATTCTGCCATGAGCGCGTACTATTCCGGTACAATTCCGTTCGGAGGAATCATCTTCGGCGTTATGTTTTTTTTTCCGCCAGACAGCATCATATTCAGATGATGGCATGATAAATAATCTCACTTGACGGCTGCAACACGCGCACATCACGTCTTCATTTGAACACGTTTGAACTTATAATTCGTTTGAACTTCAATTCTACATTGGTATAAAAAAAACACTATAAATTAAAAAAAAAAATACTAATAGCGATAATCTAGGATAATCCTAGATAAAGGAGGAAAGCGCGCGATAAGCTCGCGATGACCTCGGGAAGGAATGTTTATAAACAAAACAAGCGAAGCGTGGACAGCTGCTTTTGACGTTTATCATTCCACACAGAGCGGCTACTAGTTATATTATGACGGAGTATTGGTGCTGCCGTGGTGAAAATGTGCCGTTGAATCGAATGGTGGTGAATATCGTTCAGCAGCAATGAAATTTATGTAAGGTCCGGGCCAACATTGCTAAGCACACAACCCTAACAAAAATATCATTAACGAACGATAACCCAAATGATAGATTTTTTCCACAGATGGTTTGGATGATACCCAGAACATGCCGTTAAGCAACATAACCATAACAAATTTATTAGGAAAGTGACGACGTCATTCCATACTGCGAACAGTGGGATTTACGTCACTGCCAACAGCTGTTTGCACATTTCAGTGCCAACATTTCAAAGGGGCGTAATTGCATTTGTAAACAATGGCTTTAGCCGTCGATTTCTTGCAAATAAAAGCTCACTCATGAAAATTAAGGACACAAACAGGTAGATGAATGTTTCCTCCACCTGTTAGCAATGTTAATTTGGAGGGATGAGCTTTTATATGCGAGAAATCGACGGCTAAAGTCATTGTTTACAAAAGCAATTACGCCCCTTTGAAATGTTGGCACTGATTTCACTAATGTCGTTTTCGTTTTTGCCGTGTAGCACTGGTGTAGTGTAAGCAGGAATAAGCGCGAGTCTTTGACAACTCAATATAATTTAGTTTAAAGAGCCTGAATTAATATAGAGACGAAATGTCAAAATTGAAACAATCGATTGTCTGTTAAAATCATAGGAAAAGTCATTCCAATCGAGCAGAAGACCTGTCAAATGGATAAGATGTCGCCTCTATAAATTCAGGCTCTTTAATTTATTTGTAAACAAAGGTGTATTGGGAATTCGGGCAGTGGTAACGGAATCGGATTAAGAGAAAACGGACAACGTATTTTATTAAACGAACAAGATTTTAATGAAACGTGTTTCCTTTGCTAGGTACAGGTCAAGAAAGAAAAACTATTGTTTACTTCCGGTGTCTAATGACAGCTCATTGTCGAGGGGTTGCCCGATGGGGTTTGTGGTATAAGGGATAGGAAATTGACATTCCCAACACCCCCGCTCAATTTACAGAGCCCATCAACCCTAGATTTGCTCGATGTTTCTGGAAAATCCCAGCTGGCAGACCCTTGGTCATCACATCCGCCAACTGGTCCGTCGTCGGCACGTACTGCAGCATGATACGCCCTTGGTGGATCTCGTTCCGGACGAACATGTGCTTCACGTCAACGTGCTTCAATCGGCCCACTCCACGCTCATCCTCAGCAACACGGATCGTCGATTGATTGTCCTCAAAGTACGTAACGGGGTCGCTCATCTTGATTCCCAGATCTTCCAGCAACCGCACCAGCCATGTCCCCTGACATACCGCTGTAGTCAAGGAAACTAACTCCGCCTCGGTAGAAGACAGAGAGATCGTCGACTGTTTCCGCGTCAGCCAACAAACGGTACTGCCATGAATACGGAAAACATACCCGGATAATGACTTCCTGTCCATCACGTCGTTCGCCCAGTCTACGTCTGCGTAGGCTTCCAGTATCGATGCGCCGTCGTCTCCTCTATAGACCAGTCCGAGATCAAGAGTTCCACGAATGTACCGCAAAAGTCTCTTCAGGTGTACCCAATACTGTTCGGTTGGACAACTCTGGAACTGGCTGAAGTAGTTGACAGCCGTGCACAGATCGGGTCGCGATGTAAATGCCACGTACATCAAGCATCCGACCAACTCGTGGTAGGGCTTGTCCGTCCGTTCCGCTTCTTTTCCTCGTTCCAGGCGAAGGCGACACTCCATCGGTGTCGAGATAGGCTTGCAATCCTGCATGTTGAACCGGCAAAGAAGACTTTCCAGGAACCCACGCTGGCTGATTCTTAGGATCCGATTCTCGACGTCTCGCTCCACCTTCATCCCGAGGAAACTCTTCACTGCGCCAACATCCGACATTTCGAACTCGTCGACGAAACGACGTTTCACTTCCTCTACTAGCTTCAGGCTCCGAGATGCGATAAGGATGTCGTCGACGTACAGAATGAGAACTATCATCGAACTACCTGTTCCCTTCACATACAAGCACGGATCGTTAGCACTCCTCCGGAATCCCAACTCCTGCATGAACCGATCGAACCGCTGATTCCAAGCTCTCGATGACTGCTTTAACCCATACAGGGCACGGTTGAGGCGACATACCAAGCCATCCCTCTGCTTGTATCCCTCTGGTGGGGTCATATAGATTTCCTTGGTGATCTTTCCGTTTAAGAACGCGGTTCGCACATCCATTTGGTGGACGTGCCATCTCTCCTTGTTCGCTACCGCCAAAAACGCTCGGATCGTATCTAGTTTGGCTACCGGAGAATACGTCTCCGAATAGTCGAATCAGTGCCTTTGCGAAAAGCCACGCGCTGCTAGTCGAGCCTTACAACGGTCCGGCTGACCATTGTCAGATCTCTTAACCTTAAACACCCACTTACAGGAAATTGGCTTTCTCCCCTTCGGCAGCTTCATCAATGTCCAGGTGTTATTCTTGATAAGGGAGTTCATTTCTTCACGAACAGCTTGCTCCCACTGCGGCCAATCTTCTCGCATCTTCATCTCAGCCAACGAACAAGGTAGATTATCGACGAAACTGGCGGCATTCAAAGCGAAACCAGTGTAGTTGAACTGGTAGTCTTCATGCCACCCTGGAGCATGTCGCTTCCTCCGCGGTCTTCGCTCCTCATCGGCCAAATTTTCGTTCACAGCTTCCGGATCAGACTGCTCGACTTCCGGATCGGACTCCTCGCCTGCGCTACCGAATACCTCTTCGTCATCCTCGGAATTAGCATCGTCCTCGTCCTCGGAATCAGGATCTTCCTCCTGGTCACTTCGTACACTTTCGTCGTCTGCATCTTCGGTTTGCCCGGGTAGAATCCCGAACTGATCGCTTCCAGGATCTTCATTCACTTGCTGAACGCCATGATTTCTTTCTTCTACGAATATCACGTCACGAGCCGAAACGATTTCCTTCCGCACAGAATCCCAAATCCGGTAACCGTTGGCAGTATACCCGACGAACGTACCGCGCCACGATTTCGCGTCGAGTTTCTTCCGGAACTCTTTCGGAATGTGAACGTACACATCCGCACCGAACACACGAAGTCTCTTCACATTTGGCTTTTCCCCATTCCAAATCTCAAACGGAGTCTTTTTCGAGTCAATAGCATTGGCAGGGCTACGGTTAGCCAGAAACGCCGCGGTTTGGATTGCCGTACCCCACAGCCTTTTGTCAACACCACTGTCCTCGAGCATCGAACGCGTTTTCTCGACCAACGTTCTGTTCATACGTTCACTCGTGCCGTTCTGTTCGGGCGTGTAGGGTACCGTCCACTCAATCACAATTCCCTTCTCCTTACAAAAATCAGTGAACGCGCGGCTCTTATACTCCCCTCCGTTATCGCAACGGAACCGAGAGATGCCCCTGCCAAACTTAGCACTCGCGATCGCCTCGTATTCCCGGAACTTTTCGGCGACTTGGTCCTTCGAACGTATCAAAAACACAACAGTGAACCGGCTCCAGTCGTCTATGAACGAGACGAAATATTTCTCTCCGTGTATGCCCACCGGCGTCACTGGGCCACAGACGTCCGAACCAGTTCCAAAACTCTTTTGGACTGTTTGCCCACGCGCGCGGAGAACGGTTCTCGAGTCTGCTTACCGGCGATGCACGACTCACACACGGTTCCGACGTCAGTCTTTTTCGCGGTTCCAAAGTCCAATCCGACGACCATATCGTTACGAGCAAGCACTGATAAGTTCTTCGCACTCAGATGCCCGTACCGACGGTGCCAAAGTTCGAGATGTTTCGGAATCCGACCGCAAAAATACGACGACTTATTTGCAATCTCACTTTCTCGGCGAAACCTGCGGTTTCCATCTTCCGCACGGAGAGCAAATTAACTCTTGCCTCCGGTATGTACAAAACGTTCTTAAGGGTAATTGGAATGGACTTACTGTTGATGATGGATGTC